GTATGAACAGAAGCTATATAATGTCTTAGAGGACTTCACAAAACCCATTCCCCTTTAGTTTGATAATGTTTTTTATTTTATTTAATATTTTGTATTTTTAGAGGATTTTATATTAAATTATATAAATTATATTCATGGAATAGTTATGATCCATTTATTACCAGTTCATCTTTTTTGAGCATAGACCTGAAAATGCAATTTTCAAATCTTGCAAATGTTGCAAATCTTGAATGCTTTGGAGCACAAAAAAAGCATTCAAAAAAAGACTTACGTTTGGTATTGTTTTAAGTGAAAAAAAGTTTAAAACTGTGTTTTTAAAAAGTTTAAGTATATTATTATGAAAAATGCACAAAAATGCATTTTTTACATTTGATATGAAATAAATAAAAATGTGTGACTAATCAAAACTGTGATAAAAACCAAAGCTATACATGTAAACAAGTTCTGTTCCAAACTTGAGGTTGATATCTCAAATAATGAGCTAAGATTTTGAGTGAGATTTGAAAAAGAGTTTTTCAATGATTTTCCAATGCAAACAGTACAAGTGTGACTATTTTTTCAGGACCATTTAATCTTTTCAAAGCATGTCCAATATTGTGTGTGTGTTTTCACATAGGAAGTGCCAAAACCCTTTACCAAGCTTTGCACCATTCCAATGAAGTCAAAAATGATAAAAACGCAAAACATACAATTTTCCGGTCCAAAATGACCAAATAGCACCAGAGGGTTAAATTTGTTGTCTGCCAAAGCCACACGATCCTTTCCTTTTATACAATTTCCGTTTATACAATAACCTGATGCCTCCAACATGCAAAGTGACCAGTGTAGTATGGCTTCTTGCCAGATATTTAACACTGGAAACAGACACATAAGACACATAATCTATAAATGTAGACTTTTATACACCCGTCCCGTGGCTGTACACCCTCTCTATAGTAAACTCACCCTGCTTGTCTTCAGCTTAGACTATAAACACAAAGTGTCAGCTTAGACCAACCACAGCATTTGAGTTTTTCCCTTGTGTTAAACATGTAAATGTGAGGTGTGGACGGACAGTTCATAAGTCAACACTGAGCCAGCAATACATCAGGATGACACATGTCCTTTTTCATTGAAATGTGAAATGTGTGCCCAAAATGTGAAGCAAATGTAACGGGCACATGCCTAAAAAGCTGTGCAGACGTCCAGAGCGGTTTTGTTTGCACGTGTGTGTTTAGGTAGTCTCCTGTAGCGGCTCTTTATGGCACGTCTGTATTTAGTTTGAGTTTGTTTTATCTTGTCATGTGTCACATGTTTGTCTTTAACCTGTCATCATAAACCGTGTCCCATCTCTACCATGAGTGAATTATGTGTTAAAGGATTAGCTCACCCCAAAATTACAATTCTGTAACTATTTACTCATCCAAATTCTTTTTTTCTGTGGAACACAAAAGGTGAGTCAAATGAAAATGAATGGGGACTGGAGTTTTCAAACTTCAAAAGACAAAAAGCACCAATAAATTAGTTAAAACGCTATATTCAGAGTTTTTGAAGTTATTCAATAGCTTCGTGTGAGGAACAGACTGAAATATAAGTCACTTTCTGCATATAATCTTCTTCTCCAGTGGGCTGTTGCAACCAGATCAGTCGGTGAGTTGAACTGCAGAACTGGATCAGTTCAATTCATGAACAAATTATTCAGATCATTTCTGATTCACTGAAAGAATCATGAATTGAAACCGCCTCTCTGATTGTGCCTATAGGAAAACTGATCAGTGTTGTTATTGTTAACTATTAAATGACCAACTATTACTAATTACCAACTAACTGAAATAAAATATGTTAAGGTTGCAGTACTAAAATCACTAAAAATACAATCAAAATAAATTAAAGCTAAATAAAATAATAATTATTATTATAAATAATAATAATAACTAATTCAAAATAAAAATTTAATAATATTACATGAAAAAAAAATAGAAATGCTGCCTTGGCAATGAACTGAAATATAATATGTTAAGGTTGCAGTACTAAAATCACTAAAAATAAAATAAAGCTAAATATAATAACAATTATTATTATAATTAATGATAATAACAATAATAATAATACCTAATTCAAAATAAAATAAAATAATAAATATTACATGAAAAACGTTTTTTAAAAAAAGAAATAGAAATGCTGCCTTGGCAATTAACTGAAATATAATATGTTAAGGTTGCAGTACTAAAATCACTAAAAATAAAATAAAGCTAAATATAATAACAATTATTATTATAATTAATGATAATAACAATAATAATAATACCTAATTCAAAATAAAATAAAATAATAAATATTACATGAAAAACGTTTTTTAAAAAAAGAAATAGAAATGCTGCCTTGGCAATTAACTGAAATATAATATGTTAAGGTTGCAGTACTAAAATCACTAAAAATAAAATCTAAATAAATTAAAGCTAAACATAGAAAATTAATACAAATGGCACAAAAATTACTAAAACTCAAAATTAAGATGAAAACTCGTTCTTTCTCTATAATAATAATAATAATAATATTATAAAATAAAAACTAATTCAAAATCAAATCAAATAAAACAATACTGGTTAACTGTCGGTCTGTTTCTTATACAAAACTTTGCCAGACACTAGTGCAAAAGACGTATGGACCACTTTTATGATTTCGGATGAATTGTTCTTTTAATGACTGTCAAAACTATTTTCATTTAAGTACTGATTTTTTTTCCCACACGGTGAAAGTTGTAGGAGGGGATTTAATATGACAAATAACTCGTCCTCCTCATATTAGAGAACAAAGACAATGGGATGAGTGTGAGTCAAACATATGTTGAGTAATTACTCCAGCAGAGATGATCTGTGATCCGCATAACACACGGCATGAATCATTGATCATTTGTCTTTCTTTTCCATCCATTGCAATGTCTCCATGCTGCAGATCGATTTGCCCACACAGGGTGCCATGCAAGAGCAAGAGAGATGATCAAATAGTAAATACTTAACCATCTCAACTCTTTTTAATGATGAAATTGGACCAATTTTGGCCACTTCAAATAAAAATAAAAAAGTTTTGTTTTATTTACAACAGTAAATTTAAATACATTTAAATAAATCAAATTATTATGAAATTAAATGACGTCATATATAAACTAACAACCACTAACACTATTTTCTTCTCAAGAAATGTAAAAATCTATACTATGTGTACAGATCCAAATCTCTACTTTATGTGCTCTTTCACCATTCCTCATATTTAACTACAGAAACTCTGACCCTCAATGTGAGCAAATGTGAGCTCAGGTTCAGGAATGTCCTGGCGGTTTGCTGCCATGTCAGAATGCCTGTTTGGACCAAACCTTGAGACAGGGCGACATGTAACCTGAAACACACACGGATGTGTGAATCGAATCAATCGCGGTGGTGCCATCTAGTTTGGCATCAGCTGTACAGCTCTGAGAGTCCAGCTTTGTGAGATCTGGATACTTCATTGTGTTTCTAGAGCTGACACAAAAGATCTCTGTTTGCTACTCAACTCCTGTTCCCATGACACAGTTTGAGAGAAGGATTACGCTGCTGTTGTGAACCTTTATAAGGTGTTGACAAGAGCAGCACGACTTATTCAGACTGTGCGTATCATATAAAGTAGTCTGTGTCGCTTTTTGCAAAATAGTTATAACATGTAATTGAAAATGTAACGCTTCCCTGCAGGAAAATCGAGTAAAATGGTAACTTGGAATATGGCGGTTGGTTTCTAGCGGGCCCAAGCTTCATTTTCAAGCACAATTCCTCTTCAGAACTTGAAGTTTTGTTAATAATGTAGAAACTAAAGAAGATATTTTGAGAAATGTCAGTGTTTTTGTCCATACACACTGAAAAAAATGAGTGTAGAAACACTTTTCACTAGATTTTTGCTAGTTAATTTCGCAATTAATAAAAAAGGCAAGTAACAGTAAATTTTGAGCAGTTTTGCTTCATTACAACATTTCATTTAATTTTTTTTACAGTGCAGTAGAAGTCAATGGTAACCAAAATGCTATTTAAAATGAAGCTGAAGAAATGAAAATAAAATAAAATAAATTTGCCAACTAAATGAAATAAAATAAGCTGAACTTCAGTTCAGGCTGAAGTACTAAAATTACTCAAATAGAAGTAAATTAAAGTTAAATAGACACATAAAAAACGAATAAAAATGATAAAAGCACGCAAAAAAAATTATGAAAAACATGAAAACTGAAAATACTAAAATAAAAGCTAATTCAAAATATTAATAAATGCCAAGATTTTCAGTGTAAGAACTCAAATTTTGGTCTCTTCCTTACACAAACTAAAAAAACTTTGAGAAGGCTTAGAATATAGTGCATAAGACTTATGAACCACTTTTATGATACTTTATGGTGCTTTATTGTCATTTTGAAGCATTACAGACCCAGTTCTCAGTTACTATCATTCTTCAAAAAATCTTTCATTTGTGTTCCGCAGAAGAAAGAAACTCAGACAGATCTGGAATAACAAAGGAGTATACAAATGATGACAGAATTTAAATTTTTGTGTGAACTGTCCATTTAAGTACTCAAATAGATGACTGACAAACATATTCTGTCTCTTTGTGAACATAGCCCCTTAAATTAGGCCAGGTCACCATCATTTTTGTTCAGTAGAGCACAATTTGCAACTAAAATACGGCAAAGACAGGCTATCCTTCAGATCTAGTTGAGAGAACTGTGGAAGATAAGGATTGTATAGTAAACACTGTTCTGGCTCATAGAGCTTGTCCTGCAGGCACATAGAGCAGTCTTTGTTTTTTTCATTCTCTTTGTTCACGTTACAGCAGAAGCCTGTTGAATATTTCATGACATGATCTCTGGTGTCTTGAGTTACACTTTGAGAGGGAGTCAGGTGGGCTCCTCCCACAGGTGTTCAGGTGTACTAATAAGCTCCACCCCCCGTCCTGATCTCTATATGAGGGCACCGTTAGGTACTGACCGCAGGTTAACGCTCTACACATCGCACAGCACAGAAACCGTCCTCCACTGCAAAGACCACAGGTATGAGACTTGTTTAACTTCTTTTCTTATGCAGTAGCTTAACCACGTATAAACCAGCCTCTTGTCAACTGGTAAAATCTAATGAAATTATAAATGTTGTGATTCACATTACATTTGGTACATTTATATTCAGTTACATAGATTTGAAGTGTAGGGATCATATCGAAGGAACTCTATAATTCCAAATTCTTGGGTGGTTTGAGAAGAAGTTTCCTTTTAATTTTATTCACGTGTTTTTTTAATGACCAAAAATAGGTTTTATAGATGTTGCACGTCCACAAACGAATCGTATTGTCTTGTTTGGAGTACCTCCAATTGTATTAGACAACACAAGAATCATGGTCTCCAAGACAACAAGCCTCACATCAGAAGAAGTTTAATGGTTTGATCTGCCAACACAAAGCAACAATGCAGTGTCCATTTACATATCATGTTATCTTTATCATTCAGTGACGTTTTGTGCATTGTTTGATGCTCTTAATACGTAATTGAGCAGAAAACATTAAACGTTGAAAGATTGTACAGGCATTTTAAATGAAGTCATTCAAAACAACTGTCCATTGCATGGACTAGCTAAGACTTGTTTCCTGAGCAATGGTACAGTTTCTGCAACTGAGATATATTTGTGTGTGTGTAATAACCATTTAGGGGCTTAAATGTGGTTAATTGTCATGAAAATAATGTCTCAATGCAAAATATCTTACATTTTTCTTACATTTTATATATATGCACAATATTAACGATCCTAAAAATAACCTTGATTTGATGAAATATAACCGGACATTTCTTTGTGAGATTCACAAGTCAGAGTTGGGATTCTGGTCACAGATCAGCATAAAGAGCTCCTTCAGCCCAGAGCTCTTTAACAGTGGCAGGCTGTCAGACGGTTATCACTTTATGGCAGGAGATAAATGGATTAGGAAGGTGTGAACCAACTCTCTTAAGCAGCCCAGAGTTGAGAAGTCATTTTTTACAGAGTTTGGACATTTACTTCTAGCTGTAAAATCCAGCATGGGGGAGCAATGGAACAATTTTTGGCTTGAAAAGCTTCTTTTAAAAAGTCATTTTGCATAGAGAGCATTTTAAGCTGGATGTCTTGAGGTTAGGTGGAGATGTGTGATGTTCTTCTGCAACAAATATGATTTTCTTTGCACATTGTTATTAGTATTTTTCTGCAAAGGTTTCTCAAAATGTGGAGTTTATTTTTATTCTTATTCTAAAAGCCCATTACATTAGTGGTGCATATTTTGTGCACATTTGGATTAGGGTTTGGCCGATAGACGATGTCATCATCCATCACAATGTTTCACTGTAGACATCGTCCAATGCCAATTTGGTAGACATCGCCCAACCCTAATTTGGATATACTCAAAGTATATATTTAAATTTAACACTGTTCCACAATCAATTTCTTAAATGTAGGCTACAATCTCTGATGCTATTTTAAAAACAAGGCTATTATTTAACTTTTGGTTATAGTCATTCATCAAAAATATTGAGTACATACTGAAATACATCTCCTTCTGTCCACAGAGGTCATGTCGTCCAGTCTGTCAGTACGGAGTTTCTCTATGGGCCGGCAGCCCTCATTCTCCAGCATGTCTCTGAGGGACAGTGGACGTGCCCGATCCAAAGCCGCCGTCTCATTCGTTGCCTCCAAGCCCCTGTCTCGCTCTGCCTCCATGAGCATGTCAGATCTGAACGGCCTGAGCAACCTGTCCTTCAACGGCCTTCATGGCAACAGCACCAATGAGAAAGAGGCCATGCAAAGCCTCAACAGCCGACTCGCCAGCTACCTAGACAAGGTCCGCTCACTGGAGAAGTCCAATGCTGACCTGGAGCTGAGGATCAAACAACTGATGCTGGACCGTGTGCCGAAAGGGCATGATATTGATTCCATGATGGCCCAAGCCCATGCTCTGGAACAGGAAGTATGTGGACAATGCCCTGGAGGTCTTTTGAACTTAATGAAACAAAGATTGTTAGCATGCCTCTTGGTGTGTACAGTAGGTATACACAAAGTCTGAAAGTCTGCTCAGCAATGTCTGTGATCATTAGCCATACCAGACACACTAGTTAAATAATTACCTACCATTAGACTGAACAGTTACCTTTTAACAAAGAAGGAAAGTACCTAAATCTGAATAAAAGGGGTTGTCTATAGGTCGAAACTCTCAGGGATACCCAGTACTAGGTTTAAACACCAGAGTTTTGCTTCTACCTGCTTCAACACACATGCTTGAATGTTTTGAGCGATCCTAAAATCCTTGATTAGCTGGTCCAGGTGTGTTTAATTAGGGTTGGCGACAAACTCTGTATGAAGTTGGTCTTCCAGGAGCAGGACTGAACACTCCTGGTCCATGCATAATGCCATCTTGAATATTTAATTACACTCCCACTATGATAATTTATAATAATAATAATAATAATAATAATACATTTAATTTATATAGCGCCTTTCCCAAGCTCAAGGACACTGCACAATGACAGAAGCAAATACATTCCTACATACATGGACAAGACATTTTCCAGGTCCAGAACATGTGGTTGCAGTTGCATACCACAGTAATAATACAGTATAAAAAAAAACACATTATAACAGGTAATATTGGTGGAACATATAGGTTTTGAGAATAAATTTGTGGAGTGTGGTTATTGTCCGGAGAGCCAGGGGCAATGTGTTTCAAAGTTTGGGAGCCATAGCAGAGAAAGATCTACCTCCCATAGATAATAGGCGAAATCTCAGAACACAAAGAAGTTCAACTCCAGATGATCGAAGTGGACGAGAGGGAATATATGGAGAAAGCAGGTCAGAGAGATAGGTAGGTGCAAGAACATGGAGTGACTTAAAGGTAAGCAGAAGAATTTTATAAATGATACGAGAGGACACAGGTAGCCAGTGGAGGTTGAATAGAATAGGAGTGATATGTGCAGACTGTTTAGTGTAAGTTAGCATTCTCGCTGCAGAATTTTGAATATATTGCAGTCGAGAGATGGAGCATACTGGTAATCCGCAAAAAAGAGCGCTGCAGTAATCAAGGCGAGATGTGATTAAAGCATTTACTAGTAATTCAGCATATTTTGGACTGATGAAGGAACGGAGTTTGGCAATACGGCGAAGTTGAAAAAATTCAACTTTGGAGAGCTTACTAATATAAGCATCTAGATTTAGAGAAGAGTCGAGAATGATACCTACGTTTTTAACTGTGGCAGATGGGATAATTGATGTGGCTTCGAGGTCAAATCTAGGGGCATTTGTTATGTTTTTTGTTACAGTTGGGCGCCCGACAAGTAAGATATCTGTTTTAGTCAAATTCAAACTGAGAAAGTTGGAACTAAGCCAGGTCTTTAACTCATTGACACATGACAATAGAGATGCAGTCTGGTGGAGAGAGTCAGGTCGGCAGGAAGTGTATATCTAAATATCATTGGCATAGCAGTGGTACTGTAGACCGTGGCGGTGAATAATTTGTCCGAGGGGCATAATATAAACAATAAATAATAATGGCACTAGGACTGAGCCCTGTGGCACACCCTATTTAAGAGGGACAGAGGGAGATTTATAGTTATGTATGGTGATGTAATATTGTCTGTCCGTCAGATATGAGGAAAACCAGGATAACGCCATTCCTGAGATGCCAATCTCTGAGAGGCGCATGAGTAATAGTTTATGAGAGACCGTATCAAAAGCTGAGCTGAGATCGAGTAGTAGAAGTATAGAGAGATTGCCCGAATCACCAGAAAGGAGTAGGTCGTTTATAACCCTTACTAGAGCAGTTTCAGTACTGTGTTGTGAACGAAAACCTGACTGAAACATATCAAAGAGTTCATTGTGAGCTAGAAATGACTGCAATTGAGCGGCAACAACCTTTTCCATGATTTTTGAAACAAACAGTAGGTTGGAGATTGGGCGGTAATTAGTGTAATCAGTTTTTTAAGAATAGGAGTAACAGCAGCAGTTTTAAGTGAAACTGGAACAGTGGCAGAAGTAAGAGACATGTTTACAAGATGTGAAATTGGAGCAGAAATGACAGAGGTGCAGTGTTTCAAAAGGAATGTTGGTGCAGGGTCAGCCTGGCAGGAAGATGAAGTGGATTTCAATATTATTTCACTAATTGAGGTGGGATTAGACATGGAGAAGTTATCGAGCGTTTCAATAGACAGAGCTAGCTCACAAGTAGAAGTGGTCAGTTCTGCACCAAATGTCCCACATAATGCGTCCAGCTTACCCTGAAAATGGCGTAAAAAAAACTGCATAGATTATCAGATTCTCGTTGAAAGGCATTATGCATTGGAGCTTGAACAAGCCTATTGACCGTGCTAAAAAGTGATTTAGGCCTATCGTTTGCTTTGTTAATAATTTTGGAAATATAGGAAGAGTGAGCTGCGTTCAAGGCAGTTTTATAGTGCTTAACATGATCTGAAAATCCATAAGAGAGGTAGAGTTACTATTAAACGTCTGCGCCACTGAACCAGATTTAGGTATTGAGGAAGCTAGTTTAACTAACTTGATCTACCTTGCTCAGCAAGATACTTTTTAAACTGTAGCTCTGAAATGACAATAGTTGACGTGAAAAAGAAAAGTAGAAAAGACATTTTGCATAGACTTTGTTTTAAGCCTTACTTGTAACTGGTGCATTGATGAACCACAAACCAACATGTAAGAAGAAATACTCAGGAGGTACAGTACCATTCTCATACTTTCTCACGCATAGACTCTGGGTATATGTGGAAAGAAGAGTGTGGTGTCATGGTTGTAGAATATTCAAAATATATCTGGCGTGTTTGTCTGTTTTTGTGAGAAGCACATGCATACTCTCCTTGTGAGCAACATGAGATCAACACTGTTAAATATTAATTGAGAAGAGCTTAATAATGAAGTAACTTCCACCTACCTTGTGCCACCACATGGTATCAAATTCCCAGCATTAACTCCGCAGTCTCTAATCACCACACAGTCCACACCCCGATGTTCAAACACAAAATACACACACATTTAACCTATCTAAACATGTTAGATATATAATTAGTCAAAGACTAACAGTTTTTTCTAGTTCCAGAGAAAGTTACCAGACAATTTGTTTAGTCATACAACCTTCTTCTCTTATTACTTTTCCCACTGTCCCTGCAGGAAATAGACAGCCTGAGGGTCCGGGTTGCTCAAGAGGAAGTCAGTGTGGAAGTGGATGCGGCCCACGGGCCAGAGCTGGGGACCATACTCTTTGACCTCAGGTCTCAGTATGAAGGCATTGTCCAGAAGAACAAGGAGGAAGCTGAGAGCTGGTACCGTAAAAAGGTTGGTGTTCCCAGAGGATCAGGGTCAGAACCAGTACTATGGCTGCCAGCTCCCATTAAGAGTTTCCTAGACCCAGATCACATTTCACTGACAAAAACACCTTGATACAACCCAATTATTAACATGATATGTTTGTACACTAAAGCATAGTATTTACATGTTACTCCACCATATTTTTTAAATACTATGACGTGTTTTTTGGACATGGTGCCACAGTAATAGTTTTGGAAAGTGAAACCATGGAATTTACATACTTAAAAATACCAACAAATTCCAAGTGCAAAGAAGGTGTACAAATACTTTAATTCTTGTGTTACTTTGAAGGTAACAAGTCCCAGTCCATAAGAGAGGTAGAGTTACTATTAAACGTCTGCGCCACTGAACCAGATTTAGGTATTGAGGAAGCTAGTTTAACTAACTTGATCTACCTTGCTCAGCAAGATACTTTTTAAACTGTAGCTCTGAAATGACAATAGTTGACGTGAAAAAGAAAAGTAGTAAAGACATTTTGCATAGACTTTGTTTTAAGCCTTACTTGTAACTGGTGCATTGATGAACCACAAACCAACATGTAAGAAGAAATACTCAACCTTTTAAGGACCATTTCTGTTCCCTAGAGCCGTGGCCAAAGCAGATAAAGTTACAGCTCAGCACTGGAAAGTAAAACCCTGCCCTTTATGTTGAGGTTATATGAATGACCCAGGCCATAAATGCTCAATCGCATGCCTTTACTTACTTTCACAAGTCAAATGTGAGCGGCAAGAAGCACAGACACAGTTTGTTGTTGGATTATGTTGTGAAAAAGGGGTCAGTAGAAACCCTACTAAAAGTAATACACATGTAATAGATCTCCAAAGAGGAACTTTTCCATCAGAATACTCACTCAGAAACAGGTTTGCTTGTTTTCATGACCTTCGAATCTCATGCCAGTCCAAGATCACTCCCAGCATCTCGGATGTAGTTACTATAAACAGGTCGCGCTTGTGTAAATAAGCCAAGTTTCGTAGTAGTTTCTCTGCTGGTACAATTATTTTGAGTGTGCAAGTAGTTGCGTAAAGGCAGCCTTTAACCCCCTAACAATTAAAATTCAAGTTGTTCCAAACCTGTATGACTTTCTTTCCTCAGTTTAACACAAAAGGTAACACAAAGAATGTTCACGCTGCTCTTTCCTCTACAATGAATTAAAGCATGCATTTTTGCAGGAATAGTGGTCTGTAAGTGTTTGTATAAAGCTTTTCTACCTTATCAGCATGTGAGCAGTAGCCAAAAAAGCCTCATTGTCCTGACGGTTCACCTTATCATTAACTGGTGGTTGGCAGTTTAAACATGATTACATGCAAAATAAATAGGATCGACTTATTTACTGATGGAATAGCTTCATTTACATGGTAGTTATTCACTGAACACACACAGACAGACCCACATACCTACATTTACATGTATGTAGGCATGTAACACTTCACATCATGCAACAATTCCTTTTGAAACCATGCAAAATAAATCTACGTGACCAAACAGAATTAGCTTTACAATTTTAAATATATTTTTGTTACTTAGATTTTTTGTTTTATCTTCAGGCTTTTGACAGTTTTATTGATGATTGAGTAAGGACAGGAAATGATTGTTTAAAGAGGTGGAAACAGGATCCAGAAATCTTTTCAAATTCAAACGTGCATCTCCCACTTGAGCACCACTGCTTCGTATGTTAATATGTGCACTAACTAAGCTATGGCTTCGACTAACAGATTCCCATTTACCTCTCTCACAGGTGGCAGCTCTGGAGGGTAACCTGGGTGAGACGGGGCAGAAGTACACCCTGGAGATGGAGCGACTGCAGGCTACTCTGGCCCAGCTGGAGGAAAACCTGTCGCAGCTGCGTCTGGACATGCAGCGCAACAAGACGGACTACGAGCAGCTCCTGCGCATCAAGCAGAACCTGGAGATGGAGATCGCAACCTACAGGAGGCTGCTGGAGGGGGAGGAAACGTGAGTGCAAGAGATTCTTGCAGTTTACCAACAATGAAAATTCTCATTATTTACTTTACCGTAATATCCTTCCAGTCTCTTTGTTGTGTTTTTTTTTGTGACACTGATATTAGTGACTGGGATTAAATTATTGTTTTGATACTTACATCAGGTTTCTTTTTTTATTTCGCAGGGTTAAAGAGACTCCTCCACCCCCCAAGAGTGAGTACTCACTCAACAAGAACATGTCACACGCTACAATCAGCAAACACTAGAACAAATATGCACAAACTGATCTTACAAGTTATATTCAACAAACATTGCAAAAAAATTTGCATAACTCTAGTAAATATTGCATAAATTAATAAAAAATTTTGGATTAAAAACTCCACCTTACTATCTTGGATTTCAGTATCATAATTTTATCTTCTCTCTAAACTGAATTTATTATGGCGCAGGTAACAAATATATATCTGGCTACAAGAATAGCTCTGGTCTTATTGATATTTACAGAGCATACTATAGAATCTCTGAGTTTTCTTCTTAAAGTTTTTCTGGTTACACTTTACTTGAAGGGGTGTGCATAAGACTGACATGACACATTCATAATCATGACATGACACATGTCATGAATATGAAGGAGGTTTTATGCATGTTTATGACAACTGTCATTAAGTGTCATTCGCTCAGTTATGTAATTTTTAATGCAAAGATGACATTGTTTGTGATGGCTTTGTTATGGGCTATGGTTTGGGGTAAGGGTAGTGGTAGGTTAGGTCAAATAATGTCATATTTGCATTAAAAATGACATAACTGAGCGAATGACACTTAATGACAGTTGTCATAAACATGCATAAAACCTCCTTCATATTCATGACATGTGTCATGTCATGATTATGAAGGTGTCATGACAGTCTTATGCACACCCCTTCAAGTTAAGTGTTACCGTTTTTCTTCTTAAAATTCTGATTCTGATTCTGAAAATTACAGTAATTTTGGCACTACATGAGCATAATGCGGCCTCATGCCTATACACAGCCTTGGGTCATTCCATGAAAATCACGTCTTTTCCAGTTTGTTAAAATGATTTTTAACTACATTTTGGTAAGTTTAAAATAATTCTGCCAGGTTAATAATGTGTTTAAAGGATAATAATTATGAAATAATTATAAAAAAATAAAGAAGTTTATAACTAAGGTAACAGGGTTGATAGATTTACGGTTTAATTGGATAATACTTGTGCAAGTAATATAATAAAGTCATGAAAGTACAAAATGCTTCTTAGAAAGAAAGATTTTATAATGAAATTTCAACTTTCACTTATTAGTTGCTTACTATAGAAAGTTGCTTACTAATAAGTTACACTTATTAGTTGCTTACTATATTACTATATATATAGAAAATCATTTTTGGGTGACATTTTAAAATTCTCTGCTGAAAGACATCATAAAACAGAAGATAGAGTGCTAAAAAAGAGAAACCTTTGCATGTCCTTGTTTTTGAAAAAAGCCTCTTCTGCTCACCAAGGCTGCATTTATTTGATTAGAAATACTGTAAAAAAAACATTAATATTGTGAAATATTATTTCAGTTTAAAAGAACTGTTTTCTATTTCTATATATTTTAAAATGTAATTTATTCCTTTGATGCAAAGCTGAATTTTCAGCATCATTACTTTAGTCTTCAGCATCGCATGATCCTTCAGAAATCATTCTAATATGATAATTTGACGCTGAAGAAACATTTCTGATTATTATCAATGTTGAAAACAGTTGTGCTGCTTAATATTTTTGTGGAAATTTATATTTTCCCCCCCAGAATTCTTTGATAAATAGAATGTTTAATAGAACAACATTTATTTGAAATTGACAATTTAATGCATCCTTGCGGAATAAAAGTGTTTATTATTTAAACCCCTCCCCCCCCCAAAAAAAACACGTTTGAGCGGTAGTGTATTTGTTTTAATCTAAATGTGCATATTTGCTAATAAAGACGTTAAATAAAATAAAGCAGCAATACTAGCATCAGCTTTTTATTGTTCAAGTCATTTACATCTTTATATGAAGGACACAAATGGCCCTCTTTCATTAGAAAGACAACTTTACTGATATTCAGTACAGCAGTATGATAGCGAGTGTGATGCTTAAGTATATTTGAAGCTGGCTCGAACTGTCGGGTAAACATTCATCAGATATCCGTCTGTGGCTCTGGAATGTTCTGGGAGTGCGTTTGTCCTCTCACCTGAGCTCCACACATTAAACACTGCCAAACAGAGGCAGCTCTCATAACAGAGCCGTCCACAGCAACACAGAGCCTATACAGTCCGGTGTCTGTGCGTCTGGATGGAATCTGACGTATCGCTCACATTGCTCTCTCTCTGTCTTTCTCTCTGCAGAGGAGCCTGATGTTCGTACCCGTAAGATAGTGAAGGTGGTAACGCAAACCATGATCAATGGCAAAGTGGTGGACGAATCCAGCGAGGTTGAACAGATTGAGGAGACAAAGAAGTAAAACAAGAACAAGACTATCTGTGTGATTCTCTGTATAAATGCTTCTATTGTCCATTTAGGAGCCGCATTACCTTGGGCCCCCACAGGGCCCCTGATTTTTGTTTCATTCCCAGTCTTTCAAAGATATCGTCTTTCCTTTCTCAAGCAACAGAAGAGCTGAAATTACTAGGAACTCCATCAGATTTAGAGCTGAAACTGAAGAAGAAACAAGTGCTCCTGTTATTGCTTTTAGGGACTTATCAGACCAAAACTCTTTCATCTTTCTGCATGCAATATTTATTTCTAAATAGTGTAGTGTGAGGAAGAATTTATTTACTTAAGAGTTTTTTGCTTTTCTGTCATGTCTTTCACTCTTTATCTGTAATAAAACCATAACACGCAAACTGCATTTTTTGTGACCATTTATGACTTTCAATCTTTTTATCCAAAGTATACTACAGGAATTGCTTTATTCACATATATGCACACCAGATAGTACCATTTATAAAATAAACATATTATATTTATTTGCATTTCAATATTTAGTGCTTTGCAGAAACACCATATTAATATTAGTTTACTTAATATTTGAAGTTAAAATGTCATTGATCTTTAACAGAAATGATCTTAAGGTGTATTGCTCATTTTGTTTTTATCAGCTTATACAACAAGGGCTCATTATTTAGTTTAAATGTTATCACTGTTAATTAATATGCTCTTTATTTGGTTCAAATGACTTCTGTCAAAATAGGTAAAGGTTGTTTCAAGATGTTTCTCCTGCTTAAAAAAAGAAAAAGAAGAAGAAATAAATATAAATGATTTAATAAAAATATAATCTTTAATTATTTTAATTAGCATTTTAAAAAAATGCATTTACAGTACAGTTTGGTAAAAGTTCAATCAAAATGAATTACTTTGGCGTTAATTAAATTGCATGCTTAGCAAAATGAAGCATATTTACATAAATCTAATTTAAAAAATGTGTTTAAATATTACATTTGCCAAAAAACACCCTCAATATGAATCTAAGCATTTCTCGTCAGAGTCTTCTAAGTCCAACTGATATGAGTTCTACCATCCACATTACATTTATAGCTTTATAATTTTATGGTATGTCAACAATTGTCTCAGTTGTATTTGTGTTATCTTTGCTAAATAGAGATTCCTGAGCTACGAAAGAGCAACCTATGAGCAATGACATCTGGGCAGCTTTAAGACAGAACAAGGGTGCGATGTCTCAATCAAGTCCTCTTTGCTCATTTGACATTTACACATGTCTGTCTTCTGTATATCAGACATAAAAAGTATGGATTTGTATGGCAGGTATAGTAGCCTGCACTGTAAAAAAAAATATCTGTACAATTTACGGTAAAAAACCGGCAGCTGTGGTTACCGGAATTTTACCGTAAAAAATACGGTAGCAACGTTTTAGGTTTTACGGTTTTAACTTAAATTTACAGTTAAATACCGTAATTTAATTTGATATAATGTTAATATACCAACCTATTGAAGTACTGAAATCTGTTTTGTAGCTTTGTAATAAACTGATAACCACCAAATGCAGGAGGTGATGAGAAAGTCACATGATGAACCAAAGCCCATCACAAGCAGCTTTTAAATAATAACATATATAGAAGGTGCACATTATCATTCATACAAACACCAAACACCATCACGGTAACACACATGAAACTGAAATAATGCAATAAACATTCATTTAACAACATTAGGTCTAACACACAACCCTAATATACAAAACTGATAAGAAAAAACTAAGAAGAAACATAGTTATTTCAACAAAAAAACATAACATTTTAAATGTAACGCAGGGAATTCTGGGAATGTCAATTTACGGTTATTCACTGTAAATTATACGTTCTTTTTCACTTCCAAAAACGGTATACTACCGTAAAATTGATGTCCAATACATGTAATGTCCAATACAGTTTTTCACCGTATATAGTAGGGGAATTTACCGTTAACCATTTAACAGGCTTTTACTGTAGCATTTTTACAGTCTTTTACCATTAAATTCACGGCCATTTTTTACAGTGTGGAGAACAAGATAAATAATACAATGAATAGAAAACATAAACATAACAGAAATAATCAAGAGTATTGAAACAAGTACTGATGGCACTAGAAAATACCTTGATGTACTCTAACAACACCTGTGTGTTTCTACTTTCGCTTTGCAAACCAAAGTCACTTTTGAATGACATGATTTGAATGTAAAACATGTAAATTAATTTGTTGGTTCACATCAGGAAAACAAAGATTTCCATTTATTGAAGTTTACTGTATTACTGGACTTGACATTTGCTGTTGTACTGTATTTACTGCATATTTAAAAAAAGGTTTACGTAATAATCTCAGAGGCATACAGGAAATAAAATACCTCTTTATGCCTTCACATGGCACTGTTTGAGCATTATGGTTAATGGGCTTTGATTGGTGACGCCATCCTGATTGTCCTCAGCTTCACCTAAATAGACTCATTCAGATGATTTGAACTGTTGGCCAGTGAATGCAGCACCGGATAGGCTGGTGAGGATTGAAGAGCGGTTTGGCATCTGTGGTCGTCTAGAGACTTCAGCAATCTGAACTCATCCCTGCAGCGATCTGTCAGTGGAGAACAAGAGGATGTTCACTAAGAAGCCCTGAGAAACCTGTCCTGAATTCATTTAAGTCTGGACTGGAACGCTCTGTTACATGACATTGGGGTTTGTTTCTAGAGGAATGATATTATGTTTTTTATTGTTGATATTATAATGCATTATTTAAACATATATATATTTTCTTAATATATAAAAAATTATAATATATAAACTATAAAATACAAAAAGATATTTTTTTTATTTGCAATATTTACTTTTAATTTACTAGTGATGCTTGCCCAAATAAATGTCTCAAAACTTTCTCCTTTTTCCCCCCACCTCTTGTGGACAATCCAATGGACCAAAAATAAATAAATAAATAAATCCTTAGGACAGTAAGCAACCACTAAAATTTTACTTTTATTATATTACTTTTTCCCTACTTTTATTATTATTATTCTATTTGTATTTAGGTTATAAAAAATAGAAAATATATTGTATTCTTTGTTTACTTGAATATACAAAATAAGGCTCTAAAAAACAGGGAAACGGGACCAGGAACGTTAAAGTGTGGGAAAAATAATGTCCCACATTGATGGCTGAGATCCTGCATTTCACTAACCACTGTCCTAACTCCATGTCATTTGTTGTTCCTCACAGTGAAAGGAGTCTCTATGGATACTAATCAGGGTCAAAAATGATCAGTGCAATTATGACAAATAGGCTTTCTTGTTTCTTATGAAGACATGTCTATTCTGTCATGGAAACACGATTCTTTAAGAGGGGATTTGTGGGAATAAGGTGAATGTAGGACTTCCCCTGACACACCCTCAACCTAAAACATACAGACTGACATGCATGATGCCTCAAAAGCTCACTTACACATATGTCAAACTCCTCCATCTGTAATACAGCCTGTCAGTTCTCTATTTAATGCTGGGATTTTTGTAGATATAATGCTTAGTCTGTCTTTTTTGTGTTGTCTGTTGAAGCTTTCCAGTTTGGACTGATGTATCGCTATGCTAAAGCTAGCACCATGCATTCTGAAGTCTGTTGGCGTCTGTGTAATTATTGATGAGCACTGGCTTGCTCGAAGTCTCGATCTCAGTGTGGGAAAGAGATGTAATTCTTTATGGATTTAGTCTTTAGTGCATAACTGGATTGCACACGTTTTGTTGAAAACCTTGGGGAAATAGTGCAAAAATGTTAAGCAGAAAAATGCAGTAAATAGGTATGTAGGCCAAATAATACATCTGCACTCAGCAATTACAGGGCCAAGCACGACATGCACATTATAGAGCTGAGTACATGTTTTTGGTCACAGCACTTCTCATGATGATTTTATGAAAAGTCTATGAAGAGACTTATTATTTATTTAAATTCATGGGTTATTTTGGTGTATTATGTCAATGATACTGTACAAAATTTTGGGGTTGGTAATGTTATTATTATTATTTTTTTAAAAGAAGTCTTTTTTGCTCACCAAGGCTGCATTTATACAGTAAAAACTATAACATTGTGAAATACTATTGCAATTTAATATAACTGTTTTCTGTGAATATATTTTAAAATGTAATTCATTCCTGTGATGCAAAGCTGAATTTTCAGCATCATTACTCCAGTTTTCAGTGTCCTTCAAAAATAATTTAAATATGCTGATTTGCTGCTTTAAGAAACATTTATTATTATTATCAATTTTGAAAACAGGTATGCTGCTTCATATTTTTGTGGAAACTGTGACACATTGGTGTTTTTTCCAGGATTCTCTGATGAAAGTCTAAAAGAACAGCTTTTATTTGAAACAGAAATCTATAGAATAAATTTAATGCATCCTTGATGAATAAAAGTATTAATTTCTTTCAAAAAAAAAAAAAAGGCCTCTTAGATAGTCTTTAGTGTCTCACTTTTTGTTTGTTTCCTTGTCAGAAAATTCATTAAGATTTGTCATCAAACACCAAAAATTATTTTGGTGAATTTTGTGAGTCTGAATACGCAAATCAAAATATTGCAGGTCTAGAAAAATGTGTTTACGCAAACCTGACTTCTATTCAAAAGTTATAAATATTTTGCTCCATGTTTTTATGCACTTGGAGGTGCAGTTGTCGCCAGTCGGGTGTTGGATGTTCAGGACATTATGGCAATGGTTCATTGCAAGTTCTGTGTAAATACTGTATGTCAAAATCTTGTGAAGAAAATGGCCTTGCAATCAAATTCAATGATGAGTTGCACACAAATAGTTTGCTGTAGGATGAATTATTCAGGCAGAAGTTAAAACCCCAGGGTGGCTTTCCATAAATGAAAGAATCAAAAAAAAAATGCCTTCATGCTAAAACGCTGTTTCTATTGCCAGTGACTGACTCACCAGTCTGGCCTGAACACTAGTATTAATGATGCTAAACACCGCTAATTATTCTTAAGTCCACTTGTGGAGTAGAAGATAATGTGCTTGTATGAACTTCTGCCAAAATGTGACATGACTCTTTTTTAATATGATACGCAAGAGTGAGGGAGACATTTGGCTTGCATGTGAGTAGCTGATTAAAAACTCCATACGAAAGATCACAGCTAAATGACGCACACTAACCAGTGAAGCAAACAGAATGAATACATTACAAGTTACCAGTAATCTTTAACTTTCCTGCTACCCTGAAATGAGGCAATGAACTTCATAAGGGAAATACCCCACATGCATTCATACTGCCCCTTCAAAACAACATGCAGAATAAGGACTATGAAAAACCCGCAAATTATTGTTGCTAAAGAGCTTTTAAGAGTTGTTAGCTCCACCGCTAAGATTAG